GAGCCTGTGTCCCTGCACCCAGCCTGTGTCCCTGCACCCAGCCTGTGTCCCTGCACCCAGCCTGTGTCCCTGCACCCAGCCTGTGTCCCTGCACCCAGCCTGTGTCCCTGCACTGAGCTGAGAGCCTGTGTCCCCACAGAACTGACACGCTGCCAGGAGGGAGGGACTCGGTGCCCCCAGCCCCTCAGCTACCCCGCACAGGAAAATCCAATGTGAAACAAGACAAACCTCCCATATCTGGGGGCTGATCTCTCAATAAAAAGAGCTGTAAAAGGCAAGGAGAGGACGAGCCCGTGCTGGGGGCTGGGCAGCACGGCTGCACTTGGCTGCTCCATTGCCAAGGGGGCAGTAGCAATGCTGGTCAGGCTCTCCCATGGGCTGGAATCACATCCCCTCTGCTGCCAAAGGGGCTCTCCAGCCTGCCTGCTGGGCACTAAACTGCTGCCCTGAGTGACCACTCAGCTTTCACAGGTGGAGACTGTTCAGCACTAAACCTCAAACTGCTGCAATAAGGGACAGTAAGAAAAAAAACCAAGAAAAACCTCAACCTTCTCCCCAGAAAGTGCTATTCTGGGTCCTACCCCAGCCCTGCTGTGAAAGTGAAACCTGTCACTTTGCTCCAATATCCTGCAGCTCTGAATCTGGGGGGAAGGAGGACAAATGGGACTGAGACAAATAAATCCAGAGCAGAGGCTGATGAGGAAGGACAGCAGGCCCCGAGTACTCAGTGTTTCACTTCAGGGAAAGCCTGGACAAGGCATCTGAGTGTTCTCACTGGCAAAACCTGCATCAATGCTACAATGCCAATTTAAATTTAAATTTCAATTTGTCTTTAGGTGTAAAAGCTTCTCAGAGCACAACATAATGCAAGAACCAAGGACTGCAAGAGCCATGCAGGAGTTAGTGGATCTCAGGAAAATACCAGTGCTGAAGATCCTTCAGAGGCTGTAAGCACAGCCTCCCCGTCCAACAGGATCCTGCATCTCCACAGGACACTTGGAAGGAAGCTCTGCCTGGCACTGTGCAAGCTGAGCAGTTGTTGCATCTATAAATGTCACCCTTTTGGAGCCACCTGGGAGACTCACCTCTCAATAAGTCCGAGAGTGGAGGACCACAATCCTCTGGAATTGTGTAGTCGCCTTTCCCGATGTTTTCAAATAATTTATAGATATTATCCCCTTCAAAGGGGTACAGACCCGTTGTGATGTTGTATCTGTGGAGGCAGAAGGAGAAGCTGGATAAGAAGCAGCACACAGGTACTCATTTCTTACATGGCTATGTAAACCAAAAGGAGCCAAGAGGGAACTAAAAGAGGAATATTTGACAGTACGTGGAATGCCTCTTTAAACTTAGCCTTCCTTCATCACAGCTCTTCATTCACACAAGCCAAAACCACCAGGACACCTCCCTGACAGCTGGGACAGCAGAAACTTTAAAATAAATACTTGTGGTTTCTGTTGTTGCAGCAGCTGTGCTTCTGGGTGCTGAGCAACAGCTGCAGAGTCACTCACAGAGAGAAAAGATGACCTTCTACAGAATTACAGGTACTTTGAGGAGCATGAAACCCCCCCAGGAGGGACCAGCACTCCCCTCCCTGCTCCCCCAACACACAAGAGCAGCAGTGACAGCCCAGGACTGAGCTCCCTGGGGGTGTGGTTTGTTCTCCAGTTCCTGGGGGCTCTGGGCACTCACAGCGTCACCCCCGCGGACCAGATGTCGACTTTAAAGCCTGAAAAGGTGTCAAGGCCATTGGCAATTTCTGGGGGCTGGAATGCTGGCGACCCTTGGCTCGTCCTGCACGTGTCGTCCTCCGCAAACGGATGCAATGCCTGCAGGAGAGACCAGTGTCAGACTTCCAAGGAAAACAAACTGAGCGCTGGAAAAGTTCCACCCGGGAAACAAAAGGGGAAAACTCCTCTACTGAACATCTACAGCTGATGAGAACATGCCACCACAGCAACCACACACCCCAGCGACAAGCCCTGCACCTCTCCCACCTAGGACAGACTCCACACAAAAACCAGGGTAAGGTTATGCAGCTTATCCCCATTTGCCCCCACTTTTGGGCTCGTCCAAGATTGATGTTTTCCTCTCTGTGCTTCCTGAGTGGAGGTTTCATGCTGTTACCAACAAAAGTGCTTTGCCAATTGCAATAAATATTCAGAGTCACTCAGAGCGCTCTGCGAGCGCAACAGAACAAAAGCCTAAAAGCACAATAAATCAATGACACCACAGAGGTGACCTCAATCTGGAATGTCCCACTGCTGCACTTCTCACATACCTCTGCTACGCCTAAATCGGATATTTTTAGTGTCCCATTGGTTGTTAGCAGGAGGTTCCCCGGTTTGATATCCTTGTGGACAATCCCTTGGCTGTGCAAGTATTCTAAGCCATCTATAAGCTGACAAAAGTACCTGCAGAGAGAGGCAGAGGGAAAAAATCAAACACTTTTAGCCAGTAGAAAGGAGCTTTTTGCTGTGCTCACGGTCAGAGACTCTGGGCTGTCACCAGCACTGCACACACAGCCTGGCAGCAGGCAAGTGTTTCATCTCATAATACCCAGAAATAGTATTAGTGTGCCTGAATTTCACTTAGGCTGTCTGTAATCCCAGAGATCTCTTAAACAAAATGAAAATACGACCAGAAAATTATGCGGTTGCCACAAGTTTGCTGCTCTGCCCTGGTTTGATCATGACCATCTTCTATTCCCAGAATTTTCAGGTCTCTTTCCTTGCAGAGTGAAAGGGGCTCCAGCTTATCCTGTCTGCTAACTAACCAGGCTAAGAGATCATGCTGGATATTGCCAATCCCTAATCCATCCCAAGGCCTTTAATCTCTCTTCTGATGCTGAACTGTGGCTTGGCCTCCATTTAGGCAGGGCAGGAGATTCCCCCCTTTGCACCCCTGGGCACTGCAGGAGGACGAGGGCCAGGAAGGGCTGTTGGGCAGCTCAGGGAGTTAAACAAAAATAACAGAAAAATTAACAGAAACATGGTCTTCCTCCCCAAAAATCTAAGGACAATCCCTGCCACCACTTCAAGAGCTTTTCACTTTTTGCATGGGTGTAAAAGATTAAATCACTGCACAAAGCCAGGTTTGCTTTCATGTGCAGCCTGAGCAGAGCTCTCCAGCTCAAGAGAGCACAGTGGTGAGAGGAACCAAACTTACCCATGAGCCTGAAACACTGGAAACCTCTTTTCTGGGACACTGTCCAGCATCTCCTGCATCCCACACACACAGTACTCCATCACCATATACGTGAAGGCAGAGTTAAGGAAGCTCCGAGGTTGAACACCCCTCAGGAGGTGCTGTGTGAGGGCAAAGCCCTGTCCCAGAGAGCCAAAGCCCGAGGGGCTGCACTCCCCAGCTGCTGAGGGACCTTCCTCCAGCTCCCACAGGAGGGGGAGGCACCCACGAGAAAACCCTTCTGGAATGACCCACTGCAGCTCCAGCATCGGGCCTGGGACAGGACAGGAACTTCACAGGAGCCAAACCAGAGACCTCACAGGAATGACAGAAACAGGGAAATACCCTGAAGTGGCTTTGGGGTCCCTTTCAACCCAAAGCAGTCTCTGACTCTATGACAAACACAGCTGAAGCCTGCAATGCACTTCCACCAGCAACAGGGCACTCAGGTGGGAACAGAATCCCTCCCTCCACAGTCCCAATTTCCAATGTCACCAGCACTGGGAGGAGCAAACTCAGAGACTGGAGGAGCAGATACAGACAAAAATGGCAAAGTCAACCTGTACTTGCAAGGGGAAAGTACTGAAAAACAACATGTTCTTCGTGGACCAGCACTGCCTGGGGAGTCCAGACAGGAACGTCCCCAGAGAGACCCCATTTCCCAGTGACAGTTCTGGGTTGTCATCACCTGGTTCCGACACACGATGTCTCTCTCGGGCTCCTTTTCCCCTCGCTGCCTCCTCCCTTCTCCCTAATTAAAGGCATCTCTCTCTCCCGGTAATTGACTCGCTGTCCCCCCTGTCTGTCGAGGCCACGGGCACAAGCAGAAGTTGTCACACTGCTTTATCCTAATGATCTGGTGGCAGAGCGTTTGATCTAATTAACGCACACAATTAAATTACCCCTTTTCTGGAGTGCTCTAATAAGGCAGTATTTAGAAAACACTGCCAAATATAAAAGCAACCATTTATAACATGTGCTACAACAGATCAGCTCCAGGAACTTCCACGCTGGTTCCAGGCAAAGTGCTCTCAGCGTGGCAGAGTCACCCCATATCCAGTAAGGTGAGGCATAAAACTGCCTCAACCAGTGTGTCTGGGAATCTGTGTTCCTGGGGAAAGTCTCCCAGCAGGCAGGATGGTTAATACCAGTGGAAGCAATTTAATTGCAAAAATTCAAGCTTAAGAAGCATCCAAAAGGACCTTCCCAAAAAGCAGAACTGCAGCAGGGAGCAGTGGGAATTCAAACCTGATTAACAGCCCTGTAAAGAAAAGGATATATTTTCTGCTTCTCCTCGTTGTACAACACATCGACCAGCTGGATGACGTTTTTGTGCCGTAATCGCCGCAGGAGCTGGATTTCCCTGCAGGAAGAGACAAGGAAAAAAGTCATGTTTAAAAAGCTAATTTCCCACTCCATTTCTCCCCAAATCTAGCCCAAACTTAACTCGACTGAATGGTTCAGAGACCTGAACCGAATCCTCTGTTTGTGGGGAACAACCTAAACCAGCACAAACACCTTCCCTTGGCTCGGAGAACAGCCCCTCGTATGTCAGCTCCTGTCAGCTGGTCTGATCTTTGTCTCCTGGGATTTTGCACCTGCCCCAAACCACATTTTAGTCTCTTTTGCATTAAACTCAGCCTGTGAAATCCCACTGGCTGCCAGCTGTGGAGAAACAGGCAGAGCAGGACAGTCAGGTCAGGGTGGTTCTGTCGGTGTCTGGCACTGCAGGTCCCGCTGCTGCTCCACGCTGAGCTGTGCTAAACTCCACATAAACTTGTGCTAAACTCCACAAACTCTCCTTCCCACCTCCCTTCCTGTGCCATTTGGCGAGTGCTTTGAGCAGTGTGGTCACACTTCATCAGCTCCAGCTCTCGGAAGCAGCACTACAAGGAATTCCAAGCACAGCTTTGGAAGCGAGAGCCCCAGCCCAAAGCCAGCCCAAAGCCCCTCACCATTCACAGCTCCAACAACAAGCTGGGTCAGCACAAAGCCTGGCTGGTGCCTCACATCTCAGTAACAACCAGGAACTGCTCCTTGGAAAGGCTCCTCCAATGCAGGAGTGCAAAAAGAATCCTTCAGGATCTTTTAAGGATACCTGAGCAGTAGGAATCACTTCACTAACAAAGTTTAGCCCAGGGACTTTTCCTTTCTCAACTCTGGATTTAAAAAGGCCACCGAGAGCTGAGCAGAGACCCAGAACACCATGGGACAGCTCCCCAGTGTTCAGTGGGCACAGCAGACAGGTCTAATTATAGGAACAACCGAAGGGCTGAAGTGGATTAAACCAGCACAAGAACTGCAGCCAGTGCTTGTGTGGGGTGAGGAGATCCTGCAGCACAGGGGGAGAGGGCCGAGGGATCCAGCTGGGATGCTGGGAGGGAGGAGAGCACACACACTCAAACACAACTGCTTTAAGGCAAAGCAAGCTGCCAATATCAGGGACACATTTAAAATCCTGATCCCAACAGCTCATTCCCTGTAATACAGCTCAGAAGCACAAACACTGATTCCTTCCACCTTCAACAGACTGAAAAAATATCTCATATTTCTGCAATGATTTCCCCCCCCAGAGGACTTTATGAACCCATCCAAAATGCCAGGGCAGTGCCCCCCCTCTGGGGCAGAGGCCAAGCAGCCCTTTTCCCAGAGGAAAGATTACTTCTATTTTTAGCTCCTCTTGCACTCTGGAATGCCTGAGGAGCAGGGACAGCCAGCCAGTCACCTCCGATCACATTTTGCTTTGCAAACCCCACGAGCAGGGGAACCCACCTCCTCAGAACGGGCCTAAAGTTGGTTTTTTTCCCCAAAATTAACACCAAAACCCCAGCCCAGCCCACTGCAAGTGTGTGACCAGACAGACTGCCAGAGGGCAGGGCCTGCTTCCAAGTGCAACCTCCTCGGAAGACGACGAGGAGGGAAAAGACCTAACTGGAGCTCTGTCAGATCCATTAAGCTCATCCTGGTAGATTAAGACTTATCCCCTGCAATGTACCTGCTCTGGCAAATAACTGGGGGCTGTAGCTGCTCAGAACTGTATATAGCAAAGCTGCCTACTTGCTCCATTGCCACACCATTCTGGAAGTTGCCAAGGACAGCCTGGAAAGAAGTTCCTTCCTGGACATCTCCACCAAGATCCAGCGTTCTTCCCACAGCTTGTTCCTGGTCTCACAGCCACTCCTGCTTAAATAAAACCCAGCCACACAGCCAAAAGATTCACTCCCTTCCTTTGGTTCATGAGGTTCCTCCAATAAGGTCCTAAAAGCTTAAGAGCAGGCCCCTGCCTCAGGACTGGACGGGAGGACCTTGGTGCTGCTTTTTCTCTTTTCTAGTCCCAGGGCTCTGTCCATATTCCTGCAGGGATGTCTGGCATTCCAGGCTCTATATCCATCACAACACAGCTACCTGCGCTCTTCCATGGATTACAGCTCCCAGGGTTTCTGGGAACAGCCAAGCAAACACCCAGCCCAGCAGAGGATCCCCCTGAGCCAGGCGGCTCCGAAGGGCCCCATGTCCGGGGAGGAGGGCCAGGGATCAGGAGCAGCAGCTGCAGCCCCACCTGAGCCCACACCTCTGGGGCTTCCAGCAAGCCCGTGCCCAGCAGAGCTGTCCCTGCCGGGAGGTTCCAGCTCGGTTCCTGCAGACCCCAGGAACAAACTGTCACAGACCGTGGAGGGAGCAGAGATTCCAGCCGGAGCAGTCCCGAGGTGGTAAGTACAGCACAGGGCACGTGGGATCCCCCAGAGCCCCAAACGCTTAATTAACGTGTGAGGTTATTAGCGCGCGGCGTTATTAAACCTCTGCTGCTGCACACACAGCCTGCCAAGTTTGCCTTCCTCTTTTCAGCAATCCCACTAAACTCCTGTTTTGCAGGGATCAGCCCCAGCACTGTCTGCCTGACTGAGCCACCTCACTTCACCTAAAGCAACTGAAGAGAAACGAAGATTCCCTCAGTGGATTTAAGGAAACGTGTGTCTTACAAGTTTAAACCCTCAACATCCTCCCCAGGACTGGGAGATCCCTTCAGGACTCATTTTTCCGGGGCAAATCTGGAGTATTCTAGGGTAGAGAAAAATCATTCAATTTGATCTAAGTCCCAAACACATTTTAGTCATAATTTCTGGGTCTCCAGAACATCAGGAGACAGGGCTGGGACAGGGGGCTGCACGTGTGGGATGAGGCTTTGGTCTGGGATATGAGCAAGGAGTGACCCACAGGGTGACCCAGGGATGGCATTGATGTCCCAGCTCCAGCCCCACATCTGCAGGTGCCCAAGGCCTGGCTCAGACCTGCCCAGTCCTCCACAGCTCTGTGAGGGAGCAGAGGCACAAGCCCACCACAGTAACTCAATCACCTCCGTCCAACAACCCAAGTTTCACAGCTTTCACTTCCTGAGCTGAAGGATCTGACAAGCTCAGAGTGCCACAGGCCCAGGGCCCCAAAAATACAAGAGTTTGCCTTAAAATTCCCCACTGAAGCAGTAGAGAAAGATCACAAATGGGTGGGCAGAGAGGAAAGCATGAGGGGACAGAAACAGGAACTTGAACTAAAGTCAACCCTGGGTACAAGACAACACCTAAAATCTGCCTTGGTGTTCAGGAGCAGGTGGGGCTGAGCCAGAAAACATCCACAGCAAACCAGGGAGGGGCTTGGCTAGTCTGCTTAATAACCCCCTTAATGACCCCCCTGACACTCACAGCCCCGCTCTGGGCATGAATAAAACTTCCATGGAGTTCACCTCAGGACACAGGAGCGTTCCCATGGCTCAGAGCAGGGAACTCTCCTGGTGTGGGCAAGTTCTTTTTATCTAATTTACATTAAAAGTTTCCCCAAGGAGGAAGCGATCTCCCTGTTCCTCAGTGGCAGCTCTGGATGTGCCCATGGAGGGACGGGGGCACTCAGCCTCTACCAGAAAAACAAGAAACATTTTATTACACATTAACGAAGTTCGCTCTGATCCTGAACCTGAGCCAGGAAGGGAGGGACAGGGAGGTCCCAGCCTTGGGATGTGACTGTTCCGCAGCCAAGGCTGTCAAGGAAGGTTGGAAGGCAAAGTGAGAGCTCCCTGACAGCAGTGCTGGGACAGGATGTGAAATATCCCACAGCTGAACTGGGAAACTCAACCCTGAGTGAGAGACAGACACGGGACTCTGCCAGGGCAGGGCTCACCCTCAGCTGAGCGGCACAAGAGGCTCCTGGAGCTCTCACAGCCCTCCCTCCCGGCCCAGATAAACCCTGGCCGGGTTGTTTGGGCTGCAGAGGCTCCTGCATGGCAGATAAGCAGCTCCTGGCAGGGCTGGGACGCAGCTGCTGCGAGGTCCTGGAAGGGAAAGTTCCCTCGGCAGCCCCACGGACCCGGCCCCTCCCAGGGCTGCCTTCCACAAGGTCCTTGTGCCCGGAGTAACCGGGGTGTCGGAGCTTCCTGAGCACAGCTCTGCAGTCACTGACACCAGAGAGGTCAACAACCCTTGGCCCTGTTCTACAGCGTCAGAAATCAGCTGGGGAGAGCCTTGAACGTGTCCCAGACGCCTCAGAAACGAAACCAAGGGAAAAACCCCAAACTTCCTGTGCCCATGGGGTGCCCCATACATTGGATCCCGTTCCAGGCACCTTCCACAGGGGTGGGAGCAGGAACTGCCACCCCAGAGAGCTCCAGGGCCACACACACTTGGATGCAATAACTGTGACCACAGCAGGTGTGTTTGTGCCCCCTCACCCTTCCCAGGCAGCAGCACCTGGGCAAGGCGAGACCTTAGAGAGGGACTGCTTTAGGAAACACTATTTAATCCATCAAGCAACACCAAAGTGGTGTGTTCCAGACAGTCCTGGCCCGCAGGAACCCGCCCCTTTCCCTGTGCCAGCCTCACCCAGAGCGCTGGGCGCTGTTCAGTAGGAAGATTCCTGAACACTTATGGCTTAGGAAGCTCTTCCAGAGCAGGAAGCCACGGCTTAGGAAGCCCTTCCCCATCAGAGAGCCACGCTGTCAGCTGAGGTTACACAGGAGCTCAGCTGCAGAACAAGCACCAAGCCGACCCCCCATCCCCAGAACCGTCCACTCACTTTTTCACGTTGGCCTCCCCATTGGGGATCCGGCGCAGCTTCTTCTTCTTCAGGATCTTCACAGCCCTCCTGCACAGGGTCTCCGAGTCCAGCATCTCCTTGACTTTGCCGTAGGAGCCCTCCCCCAGCAGGTCTCCCATGAGGTACTTGCCGATGAGCTTGGCCCGTTTGCGCCGGGGCTGGTAAATGACCTCGGTGGAGTCGATGCGGTGGATGAACGTGTCCATCCCCACCGACATCAGCTCGCCCTCCGCAAACATTCCCAGCTGCTGGGGCTCCTGCAGATCCATCCTGGATTAAGTTCCTTAACCTGTTTTCCCCTTAAGCGCTCAGGGCTTTAATCCTGTTTAATGTTAAGTTTCCAACACTCCCTTTTTACTCCTTCTCGGGGAAAGAAAAAAAAAAAAAAAAAGGAAGATATCCAGAAGATTGTACAAACGTGAATTAAAAAACAACCAAAAAGAAAAGAGAAGGGGAAAAAAAAAAAAAAAGAAAACCAAACCAAAGAGCTCGTCCAAGGACGGTTGGATGCCAAAAGATCCCGGCCTGGCTCCA